GCTGTACGAACTAAATCTGAGGCGACCGGTGGCAAGCAGGAGATCCTGGCGCCTGGACGACCTGGCGATACGCGCGTTGCCCCCCTGAAAGCGGACTGCGGTTGTTGGTTTTGGCGGAGCAGGTACCTCTATTAAAAACTGAGCGCGGCGAGAAGCTACTATGATCCGCGAAGCGGCACACCAAGGACAGGGATTCTTGCCAGGATAGTGTCAGTCCGAGTACTCCCCTGGTCCGAGCTGCCCGGCGACAGCTTGAGGGTTGGCGATGCTCCCCCTGCTCGCCACGCTAGCGCTCGCGGCGCCGGCCGCAGCGCCGCAGTGCGACGTGGCCGTCGTTGGCGCGGGGCCAGGGGGCGCTTACCTCGCGTGGCGGCTGGCCGAGGCGCCTAGCTCGCGGAAGGTGTGCCTCTTCGAGATGGGAAGCCGCGCCGGCGGCCGCATCCACTCGCTGCGCAAGCAGGGCCCGCAGGGAGATCTAACGGTCGAGGCCGGCGCCTACCGCTTCGCAGTGAACAGAACGTGTGTGCCCTTTGGCGCCGACGGAAAGTGGTGCATCAACACCCCGGTGACCAAGCACCTGATCGTTTCCGCGTTCAAGCTGCCGTACAAGCGTTACGACGCCGACGGGACCATCTGGGACGACAAGCTCGCCAAAATCGTCGACCACGCTGGCGAGGATGCGGTACAATCTAATTTATGACCATCTTATTTATTCCACTCGAGTCCACTACGAACACTACCACTTCCACTACCACTACCACGAACACTACCACGAACACTACCACGAACACTACTCTTATACTACTTCCTACTTGTACTACCTAAACTTTTAGGGCTACCTAACCTTCGTTGAGGAAGCTGTGAAGCGTGCGGAGGCGACGGGCCACGCCAAGCTGCACCTCGGCCACGAGCTGATCCGCCTGGGGCGCGACGCCGCGAGTGGCTCGCACGTGCTGCACTTCCGCAACGGCGCCAAAGTGCTCGCCGCCGATGTGGTGCTCAATCTACCGCAGATGCCGCTGCTGCGCGTGCTCGCGCTGAGCAGCGGACTCTCGCCGCTCGGAGACGGCGCCGCGCCCCCCTTGCTCTCCGCCGTAACGGCGTACCCAATCTTCAAGCTATACGTGCATTACACCGACGCGTGGTGGCGCAACGTGCTCGGGCTGACTTCTGGGTTTTTCAACAACACCGCCGCGTACAAGGTGACCGAAGGCGCGAGCCCGATCGCCGTCGAGACCTGCATCTCCGCACGCCAGCACCCCGCCCCGCTGCAAGGCGCATACCACGACGCCCATGTCAGGTGCGACGGGTCGAACGACGGCTCGGGCAGGCGCCAGTGTCGCGGCTATCTCCAGGCCGCCTACACGCCCGACCTCTTCGCCACTCGCTACTACTCGCAGTGGCGCACGGCGCGCTCGGGCGACTCGGTGACGCACCTCGACGGCAAGCGCGCGCGCGACGCGCAGCTGCTCGAGGCGGTGCACGAGGCGCTCGTCGAGCTGCACGCCGAGCCGCTGCGCGCGGCCGGCGCGCTCGAGCGCGTGCGCGCGATGCGGCCCGACAGTGGGGTGCTCTCCGTGTGGGACTCGCCGGTGGACGGGATCGAGACAGGCTGCCACTGCACGCAGGAGCTTGCGCTGCCCGGCCTCGCCTCGCGCGGCATTCCCAAGGCGCGTCTGTCCGCAGAGGCCCTCTCGCCCTTCTCGCTGGCGCCGCGCGTGTTCGTGGCCAACGAGGCGTGGGGGCAGCTGCAGTGCTTCGCCGAGGGCTCGCTGCAGATGGCCGAGAACCTTGCGCACGCCTTCTTCGGGCTGCCGAGGCCTGCGTGGATTCCCGAGGGAGAGTACCAAGAGGAAGTGCTCTACAACGCCACTTCGACCTCGCAGAGCGCGGCTCGGCTGCGGAGCCTCCCGCCTCTCGGCGACCTGAGCCTCAGGCAGGCGCAGGCCTCAGCACGTGCCTGAAGCTGAGGCCTTCGGAGCTAGCGCGCTGGCCTAGAGGCCAGATAGTCTAACGAGTCTCTACTCTCTTGATAGATTTTGTCATGGAGTGCTCTGATATGTATGCGCTCGCTAATTTATGAATATGTGATGTCGGATATTTACATGCACATGCCTTGCCGCCCAGACAGTGACTCAGAGTCAGAGTCAGAAGAACGAGCAGCTACCTCCGTTCCGGTAGATGTACGCCACACAGGGTTTCCCCTGTGTCTCAGCGACGAAGCCAGCGTATGAAATCGCGTCGGCTGCCAAAATCTGCGAGGTAAGTGTGCACAGCAGAGTGTGGCACGGAATGTTTCATGTTATTGTTGGAACTCTCAGTTCATTATATTTGCCTATAAACGAGGGGGGGGGGATGGGGCGCAGGAGTGACCGGATGGGTTGGAGGAGTTAGCCCACCATGTATTGGACCAAAGCTCAAGTTCATCTGTCTCTGGGCACGGTAGCCTTGCGAGGCGCTAGTAATAGTACGTATTTTCAAGCGGGCATATCTCAAGTTCATCTGTCTCTGGGCACGGTGGCCTAGTATTGATGATGAACAGAATGCCTGTTGTAGCTCCTCCTGCAAAAGGGGGGGGTAACCAAGGAGCAACGCTCGGTTATAGGTTACATAGAGCCAGAAAAATTAAAAAATCATGGCTAAATCGCATCCAAGTTGCTCACCGTCTCCTCCGTCAAACGTCGAGGGAGAGCAGAGGGGCTCCTTGGAGACGGGCGGCCGGCGGTGATGGAGCAGAGGGCTCCGCGGCTCGTGCTCGCCGATGCCATTGAGCAGAAGCTCGCCGACTGGGCGAGTGCCGGCACGGCGCAGGAGTACTATGCGCTCGGCAAGCGCGGACCATTCAAACCGCAGGTGCGCGCGCTTGTCGCGTGCTTGCCCGCCCCCACCGCCTCGCGCCTGGCCGTCGCGGCGGACGATTCTGTCTCACCCCGTCTGCCACGTGCGCGTCCGCTCTCGGCCACCCAGGTATTCTCCGAGCTGAACCGGTTTGGCGGCGCGATGGGCCCGTACACCGATTCGATGCTGCGGCTTCAGACAGGTGCGTCCGCCACGATGGCTGGGCTGCGCGCGCCAGCATCGCCCCCCCCCCCCCCCCCCCCCCCCTAAGACCTGGATTGTCCTGCGAAGAGGGCGAGGCGCTCACCCCCCCCCCCCCCCCCCCC